TGGGTCTGTTCGGGGGTCTCCCGCCCTCGCAGGGTCTCGGGCTGCGCTTGGCTCTGCGTGTCCGAAACGTTAGCCTTTTGTGGGGGTAAAGGCGTGCAGGTCTGGGCTGTGTGGCCCCTGGAAAGCAGCAAGTTATTCTTAGCGACTCCTTTCCCGGATTTGTTCCTAATTTTACGTCGCTGAAAAGTCAGGACCTAAATTTGAGGTACCACATTTTGAGATTTTTTGGCCCATGTCTACTGTCAGGATCCGATCACTCTATTACAGGTGTTAGACTTGTTGCAGTAGCTCAACTGCCCTTCCCACAGGTACCCCACATTTTTAATACTGAACTTTAAAGCAGACAGTAAGTTTTAAATATAAGAATACTCGTTTTATGAAACCTGGGGCTTGAATTGTGCTGTATAATTCGTTTTAATTTTTTATTGTTTTTAAAATATGTTTTATTGAATTTTAGAGAGAAAGGAAGGGAGAGAAAAACATCCATGTGAGAGGAAAAACAATTGATCGGTTGCCTTGTGCACATGCCCGGACCAGGGATCGAACCTTCAACCTGGGCACGTGCCCTGACCGGGATTGGAACTGGCAATCTTTTGGTGCACGGGATGCAGCCCAACCCAGTGAGCTACACCAGCCAGGGCTATATAATCACTTTTTAAAATGTTATCCAGAATAGACTCGGATTTTAGTGAAATGCCATTAATATTTATTGATCACCTATTTTTATTTTACATTGCCATGATTACAACATGACCAGTCTTCAGAAAGTAGTATTTTTTAAAAATATATTTTTATTCATTTCAGAGAGGAAGGGAGAAGGAGAGAGAGAGAGACATCAATGAAGAGAGAATCATTGATCTGCTGCCTCCCACAGGCTCCACACTGGGGTTTGAGCTGCAACCTGGGCATGTGCCCCGGGCTGGAGTCGAACCGTGAGCCATGCTGGCCGGGTCAGAAAGGAGTATTTTAAGTGGATATCAGATAACCTGGGCTTTATATAAAACATTTTCCAAGAGACAAATTTGACTTCTATAATTCATTAAGATGACTTAAACTAAATTAGCAGACTTATTCTTGCTTGTTCATTTGCATCTTAAATTTTTGTTTTCACCTTTTTACATTGTTTTAATATGCTGAACAAGTGGATATAAACTATGTCCTTAAACTGAAATTTTCTATATGCCGCCAAAGTCATATTAAAGGATAGACTTTAATATAGGGCTTGGCAGTTTGTAGGAATTTTTAGGTATTTGTGTTCTGGCCACCAACTTCTAATTGTGCATAATTTGTGATAATTCTCAGCCACTTTTAAATATAGAAAAGGCATAATTTAAATAAATGAATTCTTTAAACATTTTAGGGAATATGCCATTTTTGATTTATCATTGGGTTTTTTTAGTAGCATACATGTCTATGACTAATACAATTACCTTTTCTTACCCAGCGATATTTTTCCTGTTTTTAAAAAATTCTAGTGTAAGTTACCATCTATATTAAAGAGCAGTAATTTTAATAAAAATGCACATTTATGAAATTTATATGACCTACTATTTGCTGACATAATTTAGCAATTAGAACAAAACTTTCAATTGGAGTGGATTTGGAAAGTGGGACTTGTAGAATGAGCTTGTTATTAAGTGACTGAAAATGAATTTGAAGTTATTGTCCCCATCAGTTTACTTTGATCTTTTGAAAAAAGGACATTTGTCACCAGTATTTTGGTTCAGTTTTTTAGTGTTGCTCTCTTGTCTAGCTCATAACTATGTTTTATTCTTGATATTACAAGAATAAAATTAATATGAAGCTAACTTAATAGAAGGTAATATCAATTTGCCATGAAGATACTGCCAATTATTATGAAATACATCATATGTATCTTGGGCTTAGCATGTTTTAGAACATACCATTGTTTTCTTGATTTGTTGTGGGAGGGAATAATATACTTGCTTTGGTAGTCCAGGCCTCATCCAGTCTTTTATCTTTGTTTTTAATTTCTTTTGGACAGATGCATACCAGTTTTCCTCTTTAAGGTCCAAAGTTAACCCACTAACTAATTATATAGTAGGCAAAGAGTTTAACAGGGACAAATTATAGATTGTATTCCATTGACTTTCTTTTTTTAACATATTTATATTGACTTACAATAATGATTGTTGTATAATATATATAATTTTTACTTTTAAATATGTATATATATATTTTTTGTCAAAGGAATAAGTCCCCCTGTCAGTGGAGGATGGGATACTTCAACCTGGGGAATAAAATCAAACGCAGAGCCTCAGAGTCAACCAGCAGCCTCTCCTAAAGCAATTACAAAGCCAGTTCGGAGAACGGTGGTAGATGAATCTGAAAATTTCTTCAGTGCCTTTCTCTCGCCAGCGGATGTGCAGACCATTCAGAAGAGTCCAGTGGTATCCAAACCGCCGGCTAAATCACAGAGACCAGAAGAAGAAGTGAAAAGCACCTTACAGGAGACCGTGCACACTGGAGGGTCAAGAACACCTGAAACAACTGAGTCAAAAGGGACTGACTCTTTTCCCTGTGTGTCCCCAGGGGAAAACCGGGCAGTAGCCACTCTGTCACCTAAAACTGAAGGCGAGCATGGAGAAACCGTTAATAAAGATTCTGATATGAAGGTGTCAACCCTAAGTTCGAAAGTATCTGAGAGTGTAATTAATGTGAAAACAACGAGGGAAAGTGTGTCTAACATGTCTACGCAGTCTCCCACAGCAGAAACAAAGGACATAGCTTCAGAAGCAAAGGAACAGAAACACGAAGACAGACAGAGCAATACACCTTCTCCTCCCGTTAGTACCTTCTCCTCAGGTACTTCTACTACCAGTGATATTGAAGTTTTAGATCATGAAAGTGTAATAAGTGAGAGCTCAGCAAGTTCGAGACAAGAGACTACAGATTCAAAATCAAGTCTTCACTTGATGCAGACATCTTTTCAGCTTCTCTCAGCATCTGCTTGTCCCGAGTATAATCGTTTAGACGACTTCCCCAAACTCACTGAGAGTTGCTGCTCATCTGATGCTTTTGAAAGAATAGACTCGTTTAGTGTACAGTCATTAGATAGCCGAAGTGTAAGTGAAATCAATTCAGACGACGAATTGTCAGGCAAGGGTTATGCTTTAGTGCCTATTATAGTTAATCCTTCAACCCCAAAGACTAAAGTAGTTGAACCTGTTGAAGGAAAATCGGAGGAAGAAGTAAATGAAACAGTTATACCCACGGAGGAAACAGAAATGGAAGAAAGTGGACGGAGTGCAACTCCTGTGAACTGTGAACAGCCTGATATCTTGGTTTCTTCTCCGCCAATAAATGAAGGACACACTGTCTTAGACAAGGTGGCTGAGCAGTGCGAAGCTGCAGGAAGTCAGCCAGAAGCACTTTCTGAGGAGGAGGACATTTGCAAGGTAACTCTAGAAAGTGCAAGAGGGTTTTGGATACTCTTCAGAGATTAAATCATGTGTTTATTTTATTTATTTATTTAATACATTTTTATTGACTTCAGAGAGGAAAGGAGAGGGAGAGAGATAGAAACATCAGTGATGAAAGAGAATCATTGATTAGCTGTCTCCTGTACAAACAACACTAGGGATCGAGCCCGCAACCCAGCATGTGCCCTGACCAGGAATTCAACCATGACTTTCTGGTTCATAGGTCGGCGCTCAACCACTGAAGTACGCCGGCCAGGCCGCATGTGGCATCTTTGATAGCCTCCTCTGAGAAATATAGGATGTTTGAAGAACTGCCCTATAAATGCCATGTGCTGAATTACTTATGTAAAAAAGTGCCAGCCTCTCTTACCTGGGTCTAATATTCACAAATGAAATGCCTTGCTGCAGTTTTACTAGCAGTTTGAATTCCTAGAAAACAATACTATTTATTTCAATAAGATATTTTTGAACTATTTTAAGAAGATAAGTGATTCCTAGATTAATCTAGACTTAAATCAAGTGAGTTAATTTTTTTTAGTACAAAAGGCACCATTTTTCCCCCTTCATAAGTGTATCACTGCTCCAGCAGGATCTCATAACCATTTCTTCTTGCTTAGCTTTTTTTATTCCAATATATTCTGGAGATTTTAAAATTACATGCCTATGGATTTTCTGAAGTTACTTTTTAAATATAGTGTATTATATTTAAAAGGTTACATGTTATATATTTGGATTAAAGAATAATATGGAAAAACATACACTTGTATACCCACTGTTCTGCTAAGATGTAGAACGTTACTGGAGACTTTGAAGCCCTTCTTTTATTTATTTACTAGAGACGTGGTACATGAATTTGTGCTCCAGTGGGGTCCCTCGGCCTGGCCTGCGGGATTGGGCTGACACCACTGGCTCTCTGACATCCCCGAGGGGTCCTGGATTTCGAGAGGGAGCAGGCCAGGCTGAGGGAACCCACCAGTGCACAGTCTGGGCCGAGGAGGGACCATGGGAGGACTCCAGGGCGTGTCTGGCCCATCTCGCTCAGTCCCTATTGGCCGGACCCCAGCAGCAAGCTAATCTACCAGTTGGAGCATCTGCCCCCTGGTGGTCAGTGCATGTCATAGCGAGCAGTTGAGCAGCCTTAGCATATCATTAGCATATCACGCTTTGATTGGTTGAACGGAGGACCGGACGACTGGACACTTAGCATATTAGGCTTTTATTATATAGGATTTTTTATAACATCTCTCGGTGAAATATGCACATTCTTCCCAAGTTTTGCTGTTACTAACTACTGTAGGTATTCTTGTATAACACATGCAGCAAGTTTCTCCTCTAAGGTAGACCTAAAAGTAGAATTTTCTGCATCTTTAGTTAGATATTGCCTGACAGTTTTTCAAAGTGTTTTACTAATTTATACTCCCACCTGCTAAGTGCTTGTACTACTTTATACTCTCCTACCAGCTGTGTATGAATTCTTGTGCTGTATTCATTTTGTTCTCAATATTTGATTCTTTTTATGAGATAATGCTGTTTTATTGATTATAGTGGTTACTTTTTAACTTGTCACTGCATGTTAAATGTTTGACTTTTGTCATGCTCCTTGTCTAGAAAGTTGCATTTCTGAACGAGAAACTGGACAAAAGGGAGGCTCAGTTATTATCTCTTAGTAAAGAAAAAGCACTTCTAGAAGAAGCTTACGATAATCTGAAAGAGTAAGTATTTTACAAATGTGAGTCATTTTTTACATTTCATAGAAGCCCATACACTTGGATGTTACTTAAGAAAATGATTTATAATTTAACTTGTTTATAATTATTTAAATTAAAATGGTTTATAATTTAACTTGTTTATAATTATTAAAATTTGAATAGCATTTCAATTCTAACCTTAGAGATTACTTTTCTCCTCATATTATCTTGACCATATTACCTTTGGCATTGAAGAGAGGTATTTTGCAAAAAAAAACCCCAACCTTTTTCCCCTTATTAATAATATTTTAGTATTAGAGATTAAAACAGTGATATTATAGTTTTTAAAAAAATACCGAGTATTAACTTGCTTTATGAAGGTGGTTGGTAAAATGTGACACAAGATTCAAAATGAAAAATTTCATTTACTTTTATCTTATTTTTACATATCAAACATTGTTGACATTTTCAGTTATTAATGGGTTTTCTTTCAGGTGTTTTAAAATAAATTAAGCGGGTAATTTTTCTCTGAAAAGTTAACAGGACTAAAACTAATCTATTATAGCATGTGTTGAAGACAATGTCATTTTCCTTTTGCAAACTGAACTCATTTTGTTAACTTCGGAATATTTAAACAAGTATCCTCAGTCTCAGTATTATTTTAAATTTAGTGAAATGTTCAGAGTGAAAGAAGAAAGCAGCAGCATTTCTTCCTTGAAAGATGAGTTTGCTCAAAGAATTGCAGAAGCAGAAAAGAAAGTTCAGCTAGCCTGCAAAGAGAGAGATGCTGCTAAAAAGGTAATGGAAGTTTAAAATAATATTAATTAAACTCTATAGGGACATAGATTTTTGAGCAGTGCCTTCATTGTATTTTGGTATTGGAAAAAAGAGAGGTAAGAGTAAAGGGATACTATAGAATATTAACACTTGTAAATTTTTCAATACCTTTAAAATGATACATTTTGATACTTTAAAAAATTCTAAGCAAATACTTGTTTGTGTAATTTATAAGTCCTTGCAAAATATATAGCAAGGATCACTAGACTAATTTTTGTAAATAATAATTTCATCAAAGTAAATAATACAAGTCTAAATGATCCCTCTAAATAAAATTTATCATTACTCTGGTTTGTTAATTTTCTACCACTTCAAACATACATACTTCTTCAAGTCAAAGTAATTTTAAAATATATTAACTCTTGGGGGGCATAACATTTATTTATTCTAATGTAGGATTTCTCAACCTTAGCACTGTTGACATTTTGTGGTATGTAATTTTATGTTGTATAGAGCTGTCCTGTGCATGGTAGGGTGTTGACTAGCATCCCAGGCCCTACATACAAGATAACAGTATCACCCTTCCCTATTGCCATCCTGCTGTTCCCCTCAGCTGTGCTAATTGAAAATGTTAGCAGACATTGCCAAATGTTCCCCTTGGAGTCAAATCACTCCTAGTTGGGGACCATTGTTCTGAGTCTTATCATTTGGAACAGTTGGTTATTTCAGAAATTGGTAACCAACTAAGGTTAGTAATTATTGCTTGTAATCCAACTGTGAATAATCACATTTCTTAGCATTTGCCATTCTCAGGTTGCCTTTCCCCTTCTTGACCACTGTTAATGTTAATATAATTTTTCTGCATATACTCTTACAGAAAAGAAATATGTCATATACCTCCATTTGCTTGGTTGTTTTAACTAGCTAGTTCATTTCAGACACTAGTAATAACCTGAGACTACCTAACCAAGTTACCTCTTCTTGTCCCTACTATATTTCATCTGGTCCAGTTTAATCAAGAAATTGGATTTTAAGTAATGTTTGTTTCCTATAATGTACTTTGAATTATAGATCTAAAATAGATTGAAACCATTAACTGTAAAGGAAAAAACTTAGGCCCTAAATTTTAACACATTTTTATATGTATTGCCATGTATGACCTGCTTAAGAGGCATAGGCCATTCAAAGGTAAATTGAATTACCTTAAGTGACAAATTTGCTTTTCTAGTGATAGAAGACAATGTCAACAACTGTAAAGTACTAGGCAGAATTAAATGTTATACAGATGAATAAGCAGTTTGGAATGGTATTATAGAGGATGAATTCTGACCAGGGTAATTGAGGAAGGTTTCACGGAAGACATGACGTTCTTACTGGACCTTGATGTGTGAATCAAAATTTTGACAATTGGAAATGGATAGCAATGTTATGGGTGGTTCAGAGCATGGGCTTTGGGGTTCCACAGACCTGGTTTCAAGTCTTAACTCTACCAATTTAATAGCTTTCTGACCTTGAAAGTTTACTCAATCTTTCTGAGTCTTAGTTTTCTTGTTTGTGTAGTTGAATCATACAGTAGTTGCCTCCCTCATAGGATTGCTATTAGGATTAAAGGATAATGGATACAAAGTATGCTTTACATACCTAATAAATGTTAGTTGTTTTTAGCTATTTTTAATTCCAGAGCATCTCTTAAAACCAAATTTTAAATTATAGAAGACTTTCCATCTCATCGCACTTCTCCATTGTAGCTTTTAAAGATAAACTATCTTGACATATTTCTGCTGAATCTCTGCTTTATTAAAGTAGATCAAACTTTATATAATAATGGTTTTCCTTTCATTTCACAACACGCTAGTAGTGTGACTGAGTTTTAATAAGGAAAAGAAATACAGTGAGAAATGGAGACATGTACTGTTTGAAATGTTGTTCCAATTATAATGCTTGTAGAAAATGTAGGTAGAGAAACTCAAGAAGAGTATTGATTTAACTTATTCTCATTTCCATTTCCATATTAAAACCTGTTTATATCTGAATTCAGGTTTTGTATATCATTTTCAAAGTTGTTTTCTTAGTCTTAATTAACCAAGGTAATAAATTCAGGGTAACAGAACAGAACTTACGAATTCTTATCAAGAATGTGATTATTGATGACTTTTGGGAATATGGAAGATAATTGAAAAATATGCCCAGAATGAAAGTAATTCTTTATGGTATTTACATTATTATTTTTTTTTAACTAGGAAATCAAAACTATGAAAGAGGAACTTGCAACTAGATTAAATTGTAGTGAAACTTCAGACCTTTTGAAAGAGAAAGATGAGCAGATCCGAGGATTATTGGAAGAAGGTGCGTATTTAATTGATTATGAAAAATCTGGTAAAGACAGGAAAAATACTTGCCACATAACTAGCTGCTGTTCCTAATAAAAAAACATTGGAAGCAAGTAAGGCTTGCACTTAAATCTCAGAAATGGTAGGTTATAATTTATGGAAGAATGAGGAGCAAGATGTACAGAGGCAGATATACACATAATGTAGTTTTTTTTTCTAGAGATAGAAATTAATAATTCTCTGAAAAATAGAAGTTTGTGCTTCCTGAAGCAAGCTTGTAACAGGTCTTACAGCCTGTCATTTATTTATTTATTTAAAAAAATATTTTTATTGTCCTAGTTGGTTTGGCTCAGTGGATAGAGCGTCAGCCTGCGGATTGAAGGGTCCTGGGTTCGATTCTAGTTAAGGCATGCCTGGGGGGTTGCGGGCTCGATCCCCATTGTATTTTAGAGAGAAGAGGAGAGGGAGAGAGAGAAAGAAACATCAATGATGAGAGAGAATCATTGATCAGCTGCCTCCTGCACGCCCCCCAATGGGGATCGAGCCCGCAACCCAGGCATGTCCCCTGACCTGGAATCGAACCGTGACCTCCTGGTTCATAGGTTGACGCTCAGCCACTGAGCCACGCCAGTTGGGCACAGCCTATCATTTAAACCAAGACGCTCAACACAGGAGCTGCCCCTGGTGGTCTGTGCACTCCCACAGGGGGAGCGCCGCTCAGCCACAAGCCGGGCTGATGGCTGGCAAGCACCAAGACCTGCCTCAGTGGCAGCACTAAGGATGTCCGCCTGCGGCTTAGGCCCGCTCCCCGCAGTCAGACATCCCTGGAGGGCTCCCGGACTTGAAAGGGTGCAGGCTGGGCTGAAGGACTTT